CACCATCCATGGCAAAGCCTCCCCTGCCACCTCCGCTGCCACGCTGCGAGACAGCGCTCAGAATTATACCTTTGAAAATATTTACATAAAAAATAAATCTGAGCACTTAGCGACTTCCTAAAGTTAGCAATTCCATGTGATTAACAAGCGTATTAATTCAGAGAGGCGGGGGGAAGGAGATAAAAATTGCATTACAAATGCAGGTATCTGCTGTAAATCAAACCATGAACACCTTTGCAAGAGCAACATGCAGTGGCACAGGGGTTTTAGTGTAACCTGTGCTGAGAAGGGGAAGAAAACAGAGAAGGAGGGAAGAAAAAAGAAAATAATAATAAAAAAATAAGAAAATAGAAAAAAGAAGACAGGAAAAAAGGAAAAAAAAAAGAAAAAGAAAGGAACAAAGGAAGGAGAAGGGAAATGAGAAGGAGTGGGACAAAGGGTCAGCAAAGAAAGGAGGGGAATTTCATATATAAATTATATATTAGATATAATGTTGTCTGTTATTCAGAATGGTGAGAATTGTCCTCATTTTTCATCCAGAGACTCAAGGTAACATTGCTGATTTACAAAGGAGCAGAACTGCAGTCCTGCGTGGTACCAGGTGCCTTCTGCCTGCGTTCAGCTCCCAGCATCCACCAGTTTTGTATTTAAGTCTGGCCCCAAAATGGGGCTGGACACTCACAGGACTGATCCTTGTGGGGTCATCGGGGCCAAGGATTGTCCCCAGGCAGGGTGGCTGCTGGTGGGGCTGAGCTCAGGGGATGCTGCATCCCTGCAGCTGGGTCCTGAGGGACTGCGCTGCTGCCAGCCAGCAACACCCCAGCTTTTCAGGGCCCAGCACAGCCAGAGAATCAGAAAAAGCCAACAGGATAATGTGCAAACCATCCATCCTCCAGTGCAAACCCAGCCTTCCCAAAGCCACCTGGCAAAAAAATCAAAGGCTCCTCCTCTGCTGGGAAGGGGCTCAGCACTGCCCACACCTCCATCAGCCATGGTATTTAATTTAAACAACAATAACAACAACAAGAAGCACCTCAATAAACCCCACAAATCCTACAGGTAGGAAATCTCCCATAGCCCAACCTGCCTTTCCTCACCCTCTACTCACGAGCACCTGCTTGCAGTTCAATCCCTCTTGGTGTACCTGGAACAAGCGATGGTGGTGCTCACCATGAACAGACACAGATAAAGACTTCCCAAAATCCCAACTCAGAACCTCACCTGTTCCTCATGCCGAGGGGAGGATGCTGCCATGGTAAAGACTTGATTAACCTCTGCATGACATGTCCTGGCACCACACCAACCAAACGATGAGGAGCCCGTGAGCAAGACCAAGACAGGATTGTGATTGCAGGAAAATCACTCAAAAACAAAGTGCTGCCCTCAGCGGCCCCACAGAGATGGAAACCGGAGTTTGGGAAACTGGGGAGCGGCTTTTTTGAGGAGTTCAGCTTTGCACATCATTGCAACTTCACAGAAACATGAGGAAATTTGGGGCTGAAAGCTTTAAACCCTCAGATGTGACTCCCGCCTAGGTAGAACATTAAAAGTGTCTCTAAACCAAATTCCTTTTATCTTGCCACATTATTGTAGGATCCTGGAAAAATAGCTAACTATTTTACATTGGAAAATGTTACAAAGGAAAAGGCTTCCAGAATTAAAGGGTCTAACTTTCTTATTTTCCTTTGGGAAAATAAGACCCCTATATTCAGGGCACTCCTCTGGCTTTAGCTATGATCCACTGACTCGATGGCTCACACACTGACAGGGAAGGTCTCCTTCTCACCAGTTCTAAACACAAAAAGTTTTAATGCGGGAAAGATTCAAAAAGCGGAATTTGCAGACTAATTTAAAGCTAAAACACACCCAAGTCACAACTGTTGTCTCCTTTTCCTCTCTCTTCTTCTCCCCCCACCCTCCATCTCCTTTTGTTATTCCAAGATTCAAAGATCAGCCAGCTCTGTTTGCTATCCAGCCTTATTTTTGGGGTAAAAAGGGTCGATGGGGAAGCAGGAAAAGGGAGCGATTGGCCTGCATCCCTGTTAAAACCCAGGAGCGGACAGCCAGCTTTCCTCTGGCATCGCCTTTCAAAGCCCATGCCGCAGTCAGCATATTGAATATTTAATGTCCTGATGAGCATTTCCACCTGCTGACACAGGCAAAGTGACAGAACAATACACGCGCTGGAACAAGATCATCAATTGACTCCCCAGTCAGTCTGCCGGGTCAGGCAGTTAAAAAAAATAATAATATAAAATAATCTGTCTGTCTTTCTCCCCCGCCTTGCCCGGGGTCACACATTGCTCCTCTGAGAAGGATTCCCACCTGAAATACATACTTCTTTACATTCCATAGCTTGCCAGGTTCATATGGGCATATAAAGAAGTATGTCTCTCAAGCAGGTAGTTTCAATATGCGCATTTATATGGTCACAGGAGGAAAAATAACGCTGATTTACAATTTACATCCTGAGAGTGAGTTACGGCTCAGTTCAAACCAGCAGACTTTCCTCCTGCCCAGCCCATGTGCAGACAGACACACAGCCCAGCTCCCGATCCTCGCCGGTAATGCTGGGCTGAGCCCTCGGCAGGTGATGGATTTTGGGTCCTGGGAAGGGGAACTGCATCATTCGCTGGACACAAAGCAGCAGAGGTCCAGTGGCTGCCCTGGCAGGGGCTCTTTGAAACCTAAACGGCACAGAGTAAAAGCCAGCCTCCCACTCCACCTAAAAAGTAGGTGTTTCATTCTAAATCATAAACTTCTAGCATTTAAAAAAGACCAAAATGTGGTTTAGAGGAAAGCCTTTGCTGTATACGCACACAGGTTTCATTTCAGACAAAGCCATGTGGGAGAAAGTTAAATATGTATCAATTCCCAATTGCCTCCATCCTACAATTTGGAAACAAAAAGCCAATTTGTTTTCAGAAAGCCAAGAATCGAATGGCCAGCTACTGATTTACAAACCACCGGGAAGGGCTGCTCCATTCACCAGAGTGAGAGAACTCATCAGCCCCAGACACGCGATTGCTTTATCAGTAAGTAGAGATTAAAGCATAGGAAGAAGAAAGCATCTTACCTAGTGAATCCAATGATTTTTCCTCTGCTGGTCACTGGGAGCGAGACACTACCCCGCAGACAAGCAACCCCCAAAAGATAGCACATGCCTTTTGGTGCGTTCAGGGCATTAAAAATAAAAAATGATAATGAAAAATTGCTTCTAATAACTCATCCGGTTGAGCTCCACGCCAGCTAAGGGGCTTTGGGAAGACCTGCAGACATAAAAGGCAGGCAAAGCGAGGTGCTGGGAGCTCGGGCCGAAGCCTCGCCGAGTTCTCCCCGCAGCCCTGCGCGCCCTGGTCGGTGCCGCGCCGTGCCCCGTGAGGCTCGGTCCGCACGCATCCCTGTCCCTGTCCCTGCCCCTCTCCCTCGCCTCCCTCGCAGCCGTGCTGAGCTTTAAAGCTCCCTGAACAATGTGGGCCGAGTGGCAGGGCTGCGCTGGCCGGCCGGGCTGAATGGGAGACTATAATGGGCAGGATTTAGGCAGGAGCGCGGCGGAGGTCACGGCGGGCGCTGCCTGCTCGCTCAGCAGGGCGGGCACGGTGCCTCCTCACCTGCGCCCGCCGCGGACAGCGCTCGATACCAATTTACAGGCAAATGTGCAATGGCTGCCTCCGTCTTAATGAATTTTACCGTTCCTCACAGTCTTCTAATGAACCCTTTAAAGAGGGTTTAAGTAAACTTAGCAACTGGCAAACTAAGCACTTTGGAATACCTAATTGCATCGATGCTTCTCGCTGCTTTTTAAAATATCACCGCCAGCTGGGGAGCAAATATTTCCCTGCGCCCCATCGACTTCCAGCATCACTGGAAAGCAAAGGCCGCATGGAGCCCGGGTGTAAATCCGCTGTGCTCAGCCCCAGCCCCCAAAATCGCTTCACACCCCTCACATGCCTCGCTTCTGGCTCTGTGCAGCTTCCCTCTCATTGCCTCAGTTTGTTGGCCCTTTTAACCATCATTATTTGTCTCATTTGAAGGCAAATTTCAACCTTTGGTTTGGATTAAAGGGAAAAGAGATGGAGCTGTGGCACTGGTGTAATGCATGACTGCAGTGAAATTAAAGCAAAGGGAGAGCTGAAAAGTGTGAGGGAAAGTCTGAGTGATTCAGATTAAAAAAAAAAAAAAAAAAAACAACAACCAAACAAACAACAAAAAGTGTTAGTGGTGGGGTGTTGCACAGCCAAGCACTCCATGGTATTGAATTTCCTTCAGACTGACAGAGGTAGGACAGCTACTAGACTTCTTGGGCTGTTAAACATCTGCACCTTGTACCCAGTTTGATTTCCTCAAATGCATTTGACATGGGCTGTCCTAAACAGTCCCCAAATTCTGCAGACCAGTGGGACAGCAGCTGCCAGCCACCTAAAGCGAGCCCTGTGTAAGAGCTTCTAAAAAATGACCTTTTAAATCCTTACTAGAACCGAAGGCAATGACACAACCACAGCAGCAGAGTTCATCGTGGCGATTTAAATTTGCTTTGAGGATCTGGGTGGAATCTTATGCTTTTCAGGGTTGTGCCTTTTGGTGGAGGAGCAGACAAATGGCCATGATGGTGCCTTTAATGTAACATCAGAGGCACCCTGTGGATCCCATCCTCCAGCTACCAACAGGAGTAGAGTGATGGTGGGTGAACATCAGCCACTATCCTCAACCCACTTGGTCTCGCTGAGCTCCTACGCTTGCTCTTGGCAGAAAAACATGCGCAATAAAACTGTGGCTGTTCTGGAGAGAAAAACGGATGGAGACCTGGATCATGCAGAGGCCAAGGGGCAAATAAAAGGGGAGGGAAGAGCCTGAGGTATTGCCTGAAGGAGAAAGGGGAAGGAGCGGGGTGAGAGGGACGGAAAGCAACATGCTGTATATTATCTCCCAGCTCTGCCCCAGGCTCAAGGTGCTGCTCAGGTCCAAGTGGCTAAGTCAAACTGAAGCTGTGCAGCACAAACCTTTGGGGACTTTGAAGTCAGCCCCTGTGCAGGGCTGGGCACTGGAGAAGTGAGACGCCAGCGGGGCCAAGGTGGAGGCAGGCACTTGTCCCAGCACAGCCCATGGCAGAGAGACTGGGCTCAGACCTTGGGAGCCACAGACACAACCATCTGCTCGAGAGGAACCCAGCAATTAAACTGACAGCACAAATCACAGATTTCTGCCTATACAATTACACAGTGCACACTCCCTCCGGCACAGGCACACATATACCTGTATCCACACTCCCCACACAGCCTGGAGATGGGCTGTGTCTGCGTGATACATTACACCTGCTTGGATATAGCATTTATATACCTGTGCATAAAGATGCTTATAAAATATCCATATGCATGCTATAAAACATACCTAAATCTGCCTGAGTGTGTGTGCACCACAGTATCCACCTCACCAAACTGGTGCCTGTATATTCATGTGATAGGTACCGCCACTATCATATAAAATATAATGACCACAGTCAACTCTGAGTTGCAGAAGCAATAACAGTCAATTGATGCTACACTTCATGTAACCTGAATTCCAAACCTTTGCAGGGAAACCTAACTTCTCCTCCTCCCCATATTCCCTTTCCGATCGTCCACAAACCATGCGCCTGTAATTAATACTCATTTCTCAGCATTTTAAGAGTTAATCACCACAGCATTGAGATCATTGCAAGTTAGGCTAAGTTTAACCACATTTCACCCTTTTGCTCTGCCTGATATCAGCTCATAGCACTAGTTTGTTGCAAATAAATAAATAAAGCCCCAATCCCCCCAGGTGTCATTAGCCAGCCTGTGTCTGAATTAGGCATTTAAAGGCCGGTTTAACCTTGCAGAACGGTTGCATGTCAAAGTTCTAACATTTCAGTTCAGATTATTCTAGTGCACTGCTTGCTCTGCAGTTTGTTAGTTTTTGTTGTTTTTTTGTTTTTTTGTTTTTTTCTAAAATGCGGAGTATGCCACGGCAGAACAAAAAAAAAAAGAGGGGGGGTGAGGTTTCCTAAGCGATCCACAGATTAAACACACATCCAGCACATCCCCACACAGACACACACACACACACACACATACATTTGTCGGATGCAGAAGCCCACATTTAAGTCCCCGGGTAAGTTGGATGGGCACTCAGTCCTGCATTGGCCAGGAAAAGTGTTTAAACCAAGCTGAGCTGGTAGCGGTTAAAGGCAAGACAGAGAGCAGAAGAGAGGGGAAAAAAAAAAAAAA